TAGTAAGATGGTCTGTGACCTAGAAAATCTTCCCCACACAAAGATTTTCTGATTATCTCAAAGCAAACTACTCATTTCTGAACTTGAAGATTGGTTAGGCATCACTCTTTACAAAAAAGGCAAATGTTCCAAATATGCTGACCTACTCTATGATGACAAGTGCTTGTCAGTGGTGTCTATGAAGCAGGTTTTTTAAAAAATATATCAGCTACTCCTTCAAAGTAAATGTGACATTTTAATAATCCATGAGGAAGCCTTTTGAAGTGAGCATTTTGAAAATGGATATTTGGAAATGTTTTCAGTGTTATGTGGTTTCTGTTGCCAAAAACTATAAATACTCACATAGCCATACAATTTAAACTTGGAAATAAAATTTCCTAATCTGTTTAAAAATATTCTCTGTGAAAGTTTGAGTGGACTTTTAACCTATTCTTTTAAAATATTCAAATGCCTAGCTTTCCAATTAGTTTTCAGGGACCAATTGACATCAGGTAAGATGAAAAACTGCCAGCTGTATTTCTGAAAAAAGACAAAACAAATGGAAAAATAAACTTTGCAAAATTAGTACTTGAGACTGAAAAATGAACATTATAATTTAGCAAATACAGTCAACAATTTATTTCTTAAATTTGGACTAACATATACTTGTGAGGCATATTTTCAACTATGACAGACATTAAAACTAAGTATAAAAATAAACTGAGCTTATAGACCTCTGAGTCACTGCATTACTAAGTATTAAACTAAAAATTTTTTAAATGATGAAGCAGAATCATAACACTGACCCTGAAAATTTTTCAAAAATTGTAACTCAGTCAACTACATTGCTCTCATTAAAGATGTTTATTTTTACAAGATATAATCTACATTAAAATATCATTTCATCTTTATCTCAACCCAATTAAGTTTCCTGTTTTATAATATACAGAATATATAACAAAAGATGCATACACTTTGTAGACTAAAAATATACAAATACTCTGGGTGGATGCTTAAGGAATTTTTACTAACAGAGTATATTCAAAAAGTTTCAAGACCACTGTCCTAATGTTTCCTATTTCAAATAATGACTAAAAAAAAATCTTCTAATGGAAACAAAGCAAAAGAAAATCAAACAAAAATGAGTATCAATTTATTTGAGTCTTTTTAATAAACTATTCTGCAGGAAAGGATTTTGTGTACTCACAGCAAACAATGATATGAAAATAGGTCAAGAATTATTTAAAT